AAAGACTAAGCATCAGATTTTTAAATTTCCAGCTTCAAGACTATTTATTTATTTTTTACTTTTTAAAGTTTCTAATACAATGTCTTTTCATTTTTAAAATTTATTTATTTATTTATTGTGTGTGTGTGTGTGTGTGTGTGTGTGGCCAGTTCAGCCCACCAGGGGGTGGGGCTGGCTGGCGGGGGGATTGAACCAGGTCCCTGTGCTTTGCCAAGCTTGTTCCAAGTAGGTGCTTTAGACCACTGAGCCATCTCACCAGCCCCCCATAATGTCTTTTAAATAAATTGTAAGTCAAAGATATACTATAAATCTTAGATAGCAATTTGATTTTTGACAAAGGAGCCAAAAATTTAATTTTAGTACAAAGATGGCCTCTTAGACAAAATGTACTGGAAAACTCATATCTAGATGTAGTGTCTGAAATCTCTTTCTCTGCTAAAATCAAATGAAAATGAATCAAAGATCAAGATACAAGACTGGAAACTTTAAAACTATTATAAGAATACCTGTGAGAAATGCTTTAATCCATAAATGTCGGCAGAGAAACTTCCTGAATAGGACCCCAGTAGCAAAGGAAGTAATAAGCACAGCAAATAGAATTACTTCAAATTAAATTTTCTTCACTGCAAAGGAACTAACCAACAGTGAAAAAGGAGAGCCAAGTTTAAATCCCAACGGCATGTGATGGAGAAAATTATAAAGATCAGGGCCGAAATTAATGGAGACAAAACAGTTTTAAAAATCAGTGAATTTGGGCTGGAGAGACAGCTTGGTGGTTTAAGCACCTTTCTGGCAAGCACAAAGTATTTAGTTTGATCCTGGTACTGTGTGCCGTACTGGCTGCAAAACCAGGCATGGTAGCGCATGCCTGTAATCCTACTGCTGGGGAGACTGAGACATGAGGATCACAACAAGTACAAACTGTGTAGCAAGACCCTGTATAAAAAAAGAAAAAAATCACTGAAGAGTTGGTTCTTTGAAAGAGTAGATAAAACAGACAAACCCTTAGCCTTATTCAAAATAGGAAATAAAAGATCCCAATCCATGTGATTAGGAATGAAAAGGGCAAAATCACATCAGACCCTGCAGAAAATCCAGAAGTAGGACTTGTCGGCAAGGCTTTGAGGAACGCGAAGCGAGGGATTGAGGAGCCTGGACCAGCTAGGTCCTGTAGTACCTAGCGGGCAGATATGGCGGTGGCTTTTCACAAGGCGGCTAAGTCCCGGCAGCGAGAACACCGAGAGCAAAGCCAGCCTGGCTTTCGAAAACATCTGGGTCTGTTGGAGAAAAAGGAAGATTACAAACTTCGTGCAGATGACTATCATAAAAAACAAGAGTTCCTCAAAGGTCTTCGAAAGAAGGCTCTTGAAAAAAATCCAGATGAATTCTACTACAAAATGACTCGGGTTAAGCTCCAGGATGGAGTTCACGTTATTAAGGAGAATAAGGAAGAAGTAACTCCAGAACAGCTAAAGCTAATGAGAA